CAGCGGTGCTCCGGACCAGGGCATCTCCGACGCCCTGGTCTGCATCCCATATTGGTCTCTAGAGTTATAGTCCAACACTCAAACCACTACACCATGCTGGAGCCTTACTGAACTGTAAAATTCACTGGATCTATGGTCACTCATTAACTTTCAATTCAGTGTACATCACAGTGTTGTTATTAGGATAACAGAAAGAGGGGGAAATTGATGAGATTCATTGGAAGAAAAGTGGAATATAATAAACAAGCAAATGCCAATGTAATCAGACCATTCCACTTGGTGCAATATGATGTTTTTCAAAAACAAATTTCAGATATGTAACAAGGTTGTAGTAGTAGTAGTAGTAGTAGTAATGTGTCACTCCAAAAGCAATCAGACAGGGCTAAACTTGCCATTAAGAACATTTCTTCAGGTGACAGGTGACAGATGCCAGATAGTTTTGACATTGTTTTTATGCTTCTAATTTGTATTCTTGCTATAAACACATTACTACAAAATCCCTTCTACAATAGGTTTTCCTTTTTCAGGCTTGAAAACTAATCCTGTGTTGTCCTTCCAATGACCAGTCACAAAACAAAGCCAGCTAAATGCAAAATATGTACATGAGGATATTTTCAGAGGAGGGAAGTGTGAAAGCCAACTTTTGAGTAGTCTTTGCCTAAGAAAACCCTATGAAAAATTCATGGGGTTACCAAAAGTCAACAGGAAACTTCAGGGCACATGCACACATGATAAACAGATGTTTTTTCACCACTTGAGGGAGCACATCTTCTAAAAGCATGTTAAATATATAATCCAGTCTGATTCCTAGATGTTAAGTCCTCATCAGTTCTATGATGCTTCCTTGCTATGACTTTTTAAGTGATTTGTCAAAGACTTCACTATCTTCCAGTCACTCTGTATGGATAAATGCTCTGATAAATATAAAAGCTTGGGAAGTTACTTTTTAAAACTACAATTCCCAGAATACCCCAGCCTGTATGGCCATTGGCTTCCATCGCAACAAAAGGTCCCAGATTTTGATGCTGATTCTGAAACTACAGCATGTGTGGCTCTGGTTTACAATTCTTTTTTAAAAAATAGTGGAAGAATAATCAGGATTTATTTCATTGGTTGGGAGTCAAGAGATCTGATTAAAAACATTCCAACTGGGTTTTTAACCTCTCCTTGCATGTAGGAAAGTAAAATTTCCTATGTTCCATGTCCTTAACATGCACCCAAAGAAGCTTTCTCGATCTGGCCTTATTTGTAAATTACACACACACTGTCCAAAAATAAAAAGGCAATTTGAAAATAGTATCATTTTAGGAATTGCACTTAGAGTTTTAAAGTCCTGTTTAACAAAACCCCATATCCAGGGACACAATGGGAACACAGACTTTAGAACAACCTTCCCTGGTCTAGCATCCTTGAAAAAGGTTGATGTACAATGCCATGCCACCTGTGTGTGATGTGAATTGTAATTCAACACAACTGAAAAATACCCAGCTGGAGAAAGGTGCTTTAGATTTTAAAGTAAAACCTCACTATTATAATGCAGTATCTTTCCCTTTCTTCAGTTAATCCAGTTTGATCTGGATGTGCATATTTAAAAATGCATTATAATGCATTTTACCATAAGTGAGAATTTTCATCATGCACATTTAGTCATGATTTTGGCCAATGTGACTCAGTTCATGGCAAGCCTCATCTAAAGATTTTGTAGTTATGCACTCTAGCCTCTGCCAAAGCAAATTGTAAACAGTGAATAAGGGTATTATGATCCACATTTGAGACTAATAAATCACCATCATTATCAATAGTGTTACACAAGAGGGATGATTGTTCCAGGAACAGCTTTACAAAATTTCATTAGCTGTTAGTAAAGGAACAGAAAGAGCCTTAACACCTTGGAGTCCAGATGGTCTAAATTTGAAATGGGCCAAACTCTTTTTGTTGTAGCCTACTGTGTCGTTAAAAAACAATGCCATAACTGAAACAGAAAATCTTTATTTAAAAAAAATCTTGGAAAAACCTACTGCACTAATTGGTAATAGAAGAAATTGTTCCAATTCCAAGATGTTCTATAGATGACGGTCAGTAGCAGAATGAATATGGCACTGGAGGATTTCACCTAGGTAAGCTGTGTACCTGGATAGCATGGCAAATGTTACAGACCTGGTGAATAAGCCAAGGTAACAACGAAAGAAAAAGAAGGAAGGGGGTGAAGTAGTTTCATGAAACAGCAGCCAGAGAATACATCATGTACGTGTCCATTTTCAAACACTGTTATGTTACCCTGTTTGGTTTCTGTATTTTAAAAATTGGGAGTTAATCTTACTCAGTTAAATGAGACTTACCTCCAAAATATATACTTACAAATTTGGAGGGAGTATATGAAATATGTCATATTTGTAATCTCAGGAATCAGAGAACTTTAGATTTGGATGGGACATTGAAGCCCAACTCCTGATCAATGCAGGAATCCTACAAGTGCAGCATACTTGAGAGACACAGTACAGAGATGTATATTATGGGAAATGTTTTGCATGTGAACTTAATAGTGGGTGCTCCCAGATAGAGAACTCTTAGTACTAGCAACAAACAGGCATTGGTCAGAATCCTGTTAGTGACTTACACAGGTACATGTTATGCTGCACATATAGAGCAGATCTTTGAACATTGCTCGATTCAGTTAACAGTATCAGAAGTGCACTTGCACATGCAGAATTGTTACACACACCAATGAGCAAAATTTTACATAGTGCCGGTACAAATGTGCGGAAAACCACAAAAGAAAAAGCATGGAGAAAATGCCTGACCAATCCACATACCTATATGCATGAATATTCAATAGCAATAGCAATAGCAGCTTCATTTATATCCTGCTTCATACCGCACTATGCAGTCTGTAAGCGATTTACAACTGTAAGTTAATTGCCACAACAAGCTGGGTATTCATTTTAGCGACCTTGGAAGGATGCAAGTCTGAGTTGAGTCTGAGCCCCTGGCTGGTATTGAACTCGCAACCTTGCAGTTTGTGAGTGAGTGGCTGCAGTACAGGCATTTAACCACTGCACCACCAGAGCTCCTCATTCATTCATTCACCAATATATCTATAAATTTGAACATCAGATCATATGACTGATATATACATATATATTGCAACATCAATGAAAACTCATCACAAATAAGGCAAGATGTACACAGCAAAGCACCAAGAACATAATTCCATGTATCAACACACCCAATGTGCAGATATGACAAATCAGGTAGACATGAGTACATGTATGGAAATATACATAAAATCTCAGCCATACTGTTCCTGCCACCCCCACCTCTGGCATATCAAAAGAAAAACAGAATAAAGTAGGGCAGAATGGAAGTGCTACAGATCAAATAACATCTGGATAAAAGCCTTATCTGTAAGGAACCAACAGCTCAATAACCATATTACAGTGACAAATATTTAATATGGCCAAATTTCCTTAATAGAAGCTGTCCCCAAAGTTAGCCACAAGATGTCACTGTGGTTTCTTTTCTGTGATAGCATTTATTTATAGGCAAAGAATTTGCTACTTAGTAGTTCAGATGTCTGGCATTTTGACCAAATATGTATTTTCCTAATACTTTGTCTCAAGTCATCTAAGTCTCACAATGAGTCCATATGGATCCATGAATCCCAATGTGCACTCATTGGAGGCACTACATTGTGAACATTTTGTATGCTTCTTGAAATTGCTTAGCAGTAAGACCAGGCCCAATGTTAGCAAAAAAAAAGTACAACAAAAGGTATGAGAAAGGATAAAGAATATAGTAACAGAGGGTGAAAATATATAAAACCTGGTTAGAATTGTTTGCTGATTTTAATATTAGATATCAATTCTGTCAGTTCCATTAGGGTATGTATTGTGTGCCTTCAAGTCATTTCTAACTTATTGCAACTCTAAGCCAAGTCTATCCTGGGGTTTTCTTGGCAAGTTCAGAGGAAGATTGCCGTTGTCTTCCCCTGAGGCTGAGAGTATGTGACTTGCCCAAGGTCAGCCAGTGGGTTTCATAACCGAGTGGGGAATTGAACCCTTGTCTCCAGAGTTGTGGACCAACACTCAAACCACTATGCCATGCTCAGCTGGATCATTTTAAACACTTGGGTTAACAGGCTTGCATCTGGAGGGCCACACATTCCTCCTATTACAGAAAGTAAAATTCCTTTAAAAAAAAAAACAGCACCAGCCAATAGAATTAGATTGACATCAGAGTATTAGAAAACTGCTGGTTACAAATAACCAATTACTTGTAATTGGCTGCTTCCTCCAATAATGAAGGTAAATTTCATTTGTAATTTAAGGGGTAACTTTACTTCATTTGCAGTATAACAGTTGCCAAAAATCCTATATGATCCTTTCATGTTGTAAATCTACTCTCATGAAGTTACACAGTGGTTGCTCTGGCCCTACCATTAGGCAGAGTGAGGGAGTAATCTCAGGTGCCCAGGATCTACCAGCATAACCCTCCAGGATTGTAGAGAGAACCAAGGCATTCAGTCTGGTGATGGGATTGCAGATCAGTGCCCATGTATCATTCCTGTGACACCAAGAGAACACTTCCATTAGGAGGCCTCAGAGATCTTATTTTGCAGCTTGGTAAAATGTACAGTCACTGGCACAAGTGTAAAGTTAAAGGTACAGGTACAGGTACAGGTATTCCCCATTGACAAGGTTGTCAAGTCATGTCCAATCATAGTGGGCAGTGTTCATCTCCGTTACTGAGCCAAAGAGCCAGCATTGTCAGAGACTACTCTGTGATCATGTGGCCAGCATGACTGCACAGAACACTATTTACCTTCCCACTGAGAAGTGGTGCCTATTTATCTACTTGCATTTGCATGCTTTTGAACTGCTAGATTGGCAGAAGCTGGGACTACTGACAGGAGCTCACCCCATCAAGCAGCACCTGGGCCTGAACTGCCAACCTGCTAATCTTGCAATTAACAGAGTCATGGACCAACACTCAAACCACTTAATCCTTCGAGCCACCACATATGAAAGTGTTGTGACACTGAGAGATCACTTCTATTAGGAGACCTCAGAAATCTTATTCTGCAGCTTGGTAAAATGTAAAGTCACTGGCGCAAGTGTAAAGTTACGCAAGTGTAAATACCCAGCAGGATTCTGGTGGAGAAGTGATGAGGAAGGAGAAGGAGCAGCAGCCATCTGGCCAGCTGTTTCTGTTGGAAGCCAGAGCTCTGTCTCCCCACGCAGCCTGCCCTGCTCTTCCCATCCACCCACATCCTACTGTCTTCAGATGAGGTGGAGGATGCTATCTCATCAAATTAAGTCAAAACCCCTTAAAATCCCAAACCACAAAACAAAAAGAGAGACTATTCATTTTTTCAAAGATACAGCCGTTTTAGTCTGTAGAATCAGTATGTAGAAAGATCTTAATAGCACCTTTGAGACTAAGGACTTCTGCAGACTGCCAGAAATAGTGCAAATTGAGGCCACTTTAACTGCCC